CTGAACCTTTAAACCAGGAGCAAAATAAAAGAAACAAGATGGTGGAATCAAATTCAAGTCTCAGTTATGACCATGCATTTCTGGTTGGTAGCACTGCTGGATGAGGTGCTGTTACCCTTTATGTTACACCCTCATGAAGCATCACACGCCCTTCCAGTACCACCTAGACCAGGGGTGTCAGACAGCATACGGGCTACAGAACTGTTCTGTCTTGCCCACCAGACTACTGGTGGGCCATCAGAAGTTGAGGGTGTGGCTGAAGGCAGGACCCACCACAGAATCCAGAGCCCTCGGTCCCAGGCAGACTTGGCGATAGGCAGCAAGGAGGCAAGGAAGGACTAATACAGCCTCAGGCACCCTCCAGTCGCTTAGCCTGTTGCCACTGCTGCAGCCCTACCTCCCCAGACACTGGCTCCAGCTATATGTACTGTGTCAGCCAGAGCTGGAGCTGCCACCATGACACAAGGCACACAGTGGCAGCAGCTCCAACTCCACTATGGGGCATGTGACAGGGACTGGACACACCATCGCATGCCCTAGGTCAGAGTCAAAGTTGCCACTGCCACCACCATATTCTGGATGGGAGCCGGAGCTGCTGCCACCACCACATGCTCACACTCCAGGCTGGATCCAGCCTACAAGGACCCTGCAGTTTGGATCTGGCCTGGGGCACAAAGTGGTTTTGACACCTCTCACCTAAAACGATCACTTAACGCAAGTGCTAGAGTTCTGGGCTTTGCTGCTGAAGGCCCTATGTTCAAATCCTGCTTATAAGCAGGGTTGGCATGCAAAGAGTTTTTTGTTTAAATACGAAAAACACTCTTTAGAAGTTAGCCAGATGACCTGGGTTGCATAGGCACACACTGGACAAGATCTGGGATCAGTTTGAGATCTCAAACTCTCCTGTCTCCCAATGTGTAACCCTGAAGCACATTTGTCTAAAGTTGCAACTGGTGCCAGGAGAGAGAAACGTCTTCAGGCATCTTGCAAAGCTTTTGCCATTTGTGATAAGAAAAAGAGGTTCAGTTATCATGTAAAGCCAAACCTTGTTCTCAGACACATGCAGCATGGCTTCTATTGAAGTCAATGGTTTCCAAGAGATGTTCCAGAAGGGACATCAGCAGCTAGTACAGACTTTTAATAAACAATTACTTTAAAGAAACTCATTTAAACAATACTAATGCAACTGGTTTTGGAACACTTCATAACTAAACAGCCTGTCAGACTGAAGAAAGAAATACCAATTTATTGCTCTGTCTTCCTTCTCCCTGACAGCAAGACACCATATGGCTAGGTTGAGGAGGAAGAACAAACAAGGACTCCTCTCACTTAGTGCCAGTGTTCAGGCATGGGATGTGCTGGAGAAGAATGCAAGTCCCCCACCTCTTTGCCACTTTAGAATTACGTAACTTGGCTCATATAAAGAAGTTTTGTGACCCATGATCCCATCTATGATTCTCATACTGCTGGGTCAAGCCAGCTGGCAACTTCTTCAGCTTTCTCTCTGGTTTAGCAGCACTATCTGAGTGATCAGCATTGCATTTACACTATTAACGGGAACAGCATCAGTAACTACTACAGATAAGTGTAAAAGTGTTTTTTTTGTTTGCCTGTAGAAAGCACATTTCACTTAATATACAGGGCATGCCAAAAATTGGAAGTTGAATATTACAGATGATCTGCAAAGAAAAAAGTTGCATGCTTTTTTTTTTTTTTAGTTCCTTGTGATTTGTATTTTTAGAAAAAAATACAAGTACTTTTTAAACTAACAGACTATCTGTGCTTAAGCATTTCTGCCTTGTACTATCCCCATGTGGTTAGTTCAATATCCTTCTGACCATCACCCTGCCTACCACCCATGCAATCTAGAGAAATCAGTCTTCAAATGCATTTGAGTTCTAAATCACCGAGTAAACACTCCTAAGATTCTTTTTGAAAACATTTCTGACATCCATTACTTACTAGAAACTTGCCTATAACCTTCCAACCATTAAATTATAATGCTCCCAATAAGTTGTGTTGCTATAATTGTAGCAAGTTTTGTGTAACTGACTTTTATTTTCAGTTGAGAAACACTGCCCAAGATTGAGGTAGAAAAATAAATACAGTTAATTTAAACAGTGGGGTTTGTTCCCCTGGGGCCCAAGATGCCTTCTTTTTTGTTCCTACATTCTGCATCAACCAAGGGGCTCCACTGGCCTCAAGACATACGATGCTGCAGCCCAGCTGTACGTTTCAAGGGAAGAGGCACAAAGCTCAAGATATCAAGCTGTTGCCCGAGTCTTTATCCCTGAAGAACCCTATATCCAAACTAAAGAGGGTAGCAGAAGCAAGGGAGAGGTGAAGTTTAAGAAACTGCCACAAGTCACCTCCTATCTTTGTTTCCCATTGTCTCAACCCTTTGGTTTGTCTCGTCTATTTAGACTTCAAGCTCTGAGGGGCAGAGTGGGTCTAGACAAGGGTGCCACAAGAGCATAATACAAAATAGTTCTGCTTTATCCACAGCAGCATATGTGAAGTGGGGAGATGAACTAAATCCAGATTTATTCCACTTCTATCCCCATCCTCCTATCCTCTGTCCCACTAATAGTGCCACATCCAAACTACTGCCAGTGGGGACCTTCATCCTAGTAAAACCATACGTATTTGCCCCATCTCAGGGGCATGGGAAACTGCCAGGATCTTAAGTAACTCTAGCACTTGCCCATCCCAGCCACTGTAGGGCAAAGAGAACATCTAAAAACTGCAAATGAGACTGCTCAGCTGGGGACTCCCATCTCCAGGCTTCCCAAATTGAGGAGCGGAAAAAAACCTGAAGCATCACAAGACCAAACACACTGTGGTAAAATACAGTAGGGAACGGAGCCCAGGAGCCCCAGCTCCAATCCCCCCTTGCCCTAACTAATCAAGTATACGGCAGGGCAGCTTCACAGCGTACAGCCTAGCCAGAGCAGACCGCACATCGCACCAGCGCTTGTGAGCTGACGTTCACTCCCTCAGATGCTCCTGCTCACAAAAGCTTGCGCTATATATACACACGTGTGTCTGTATATGTGTATGCACGTACATAGATATTATGCATACGTATTTATGCCCATGTGTGCGCACAGGCACACGTGCGTGTGCACACACTGACACACACACACCCTTGGGCGAGTGCCCGACCCCGGGGCCCCAGGGGCAGGCCGCGCCGCGCCGGGCCGGTTGGCCCGCGGGTCCATGCCAGGACAGC